ATCTGTAGCGACAGAAACACAGAATAAACAGTTCAAACCCCGATCTGTGGGTTATGCTGTACGTTTATGCCCCCGTACGGCCCTGTGCGTGTGGGGCGGAAATAGAACATCATAAACGCGGAGGTCCGTTGAGAAGGGCTGAGTAGCGAATGAGGAAGAGGGAGGGTCACGTGCATGACAAATTCACGTCTGTAAACGGGCATTCTGGTCTGGAAGGGGGGGTCGGCACCCCCTTCCAGATAAAAGGTCTGTACGAGCGACTTGTAAACCGACAACTTGGCTCGTCGTTGCCGATTTTTCGGCATCGCTCGCTTAGTGGATTTGTAAGCGAAATCTATTCTATTCGGCCTTACAGATCCTTACGGGAAGTCACCCAATATAAGTGAGCTTTCCTGTACCACTTCCCCTCTCGGGTTCCTCCTCCCTGGCGCGGCGTGCCGCAGCAACTCACGTATAACCCCAATCAGGAACCTAAATGGCGCTCATACATCCATCGATGGCAAGTCGTGTATCGATGATGTCGCTCGCGCAAGCTGCCGAATTCGCAGTTCTCATCGGCGGTGTTGCGAACGAGCCCGGGACAAACCCTCTCCTCTGCTCATCAACTTCGCCTTTGGGCGAAGGCTTGCTCTCTGGCGACCCTCTGTCGCGAGTTCTCACGCCGCGGCCATCCAAAGATCGCGCACGGCAGAATTCTGGATGGCTTTAGGTGGTTCCACCAGCGCCATGCCCGCCACCTGTCAACGGTAATCGCGCAGTTCCGTTCGGCCCGTCTCTGGCCTGCGAGCTTGTCGTAGTTTCAACACAGAAACCCGATTGCCACGACGTTCAGAAGGCGATGCTGGTGGCAGCCCTCGCAGTAGGCTTCTATATGGACATGACGCCGGTTTAAGGACATTGATCTCATGATCTCAGACGATCTGGAGTCCTTAGTAAGTGCTCAGACTTATTCGAAATTCGAGACCCGCCGTGAGCGCACTGTTTCAAAATCAGGAGAGAACGTTGCGCTACTTCGGTTCGGCGCCGGCTACCTGCGCCCGGTGATGACGATTGTCCGTAGGCTATGTAGCCTGGGGACTTCAGTGGTCGCCACGATTCGCGATGCGCAGATTCGCTGTCCAGGCGAAGTAGTCCGGTGCCTCCGGCAATCTATTTATGATCGGCTGTTCCGAATGAATGTTTTCCTTCCGCCCCTGGTTTTGCGGCCGCAAAACCATCTCCTCCGGTAACTTTGTGCACGGTCACTACGGAAGGAGGGAAAATGGAAGATCAAGGCCATGTTGCGCCAAGGTCTATAGCGTCACTGCGGATCCATCAGGCCCACGGCGACGGCCCTGGTGAGGAAGACAGAACAGCAGAGGATGTTTCGAGGTTTCAATGAATACATATATGTATGTCGCTCTATGTGCCACTTGCGAGTCACTGGTGGGCGAGCATTCTAGTTTCTCAGACATCTTTCACTGGGGCGAACCACAGCGTCTTGAGCCGGCAGACGGACACATATCGCCCCGACTTCTCCATAGGGCCTTCCACGGTGCATCTCCGGAGTGAACTTAACCTGCTGCGACCAAGTTACTTACGCAAGGACAGAATCCTTGGCGCTCCGACGCATCTGCGACTCCCGACCCTTGGGCATCGAATTACCCCGAATGACTGGCGGGTTTCCGCCTCTGGTCCTACGAGGCACGCCGCGGAGAACATCGCTGCCGACTCGGACCGGAAAAGAAGCACATAAACTGGCCCGCCCTTCTATGTAATGCGACTCTGCATGCGCAGCTGGTTTTGCCGCTGGTGGTGAACGTTCGCCGCGGTGATTGCGCTGCCTGGATAAAGCGCGCATTTGCGGGTCAATTTCTGAATATTCTCGACAACCCGCGCGTATTGGCATGCGGTGCGGTAATCAGTTGTTCCTCTATTGGGTCGGGGCCGGAAATATACCTACCTACCTACCTACCTACCTTTGCTGCTCGCAAGATTATACAGCTACGGTAATTGTTCGGAAGACTACTCCAATTTTCATTGTAGCAATAGCGGCATCCATGATCCAACTCGAACTCTGAATGGTACAACTTCTTCTCGCTGTCATCATGCTATGCTCAGTATCTGGTCGGCGTTTGGTGCATACCCTGGGACAACGGCGTCGACTAACTTCAGGTTTAGGACGTGCTGCGAGTCACCGGCTGCGGCATTATAGGTCACGTAGATCGATGAAGGAAAGAGGCAACTTTTACTCTCGCTCCAAGCAAACAATACTGTAGTTTTACGATTATGTTCGTCCCTCAGTGTCCCCATGGCTTCATGAACCGAACAAAATGACATAAGATTACCTGCTCGACGTTACCTGAGCTTGCTGCGGGTATTCAGGACCAACGGGCCGGTTCGAAATGAACTTCCCACGGATAGTTGAACTAACGTGTTCCTGTCCCCCTTCTACAGACCTGAAAACTACAGTACACGTTCTTCCTATAGACCTGGAGTCTTGGACCGCGTGCGACTCTGTTTGTTGGCTTCCGAATTTCACAAGCAGTAAAGAAGTCGAGAAAGGAGCGCAAAAATGAGTCGGCCCAGGTTCGAACTGAGGACCTTCTGTGAGCAGCTCGTGCTGTTAGACAGATGCGATAACCAACTACGCCACCGACCCGTTGATAGCGGCTCCAACTTAACATATATAATTATACCCACCTCCGTACACAGCGACACGATCACGTGGCTCATTTGTTCAAGAAACGCCCGATTCGGCCTCGATTTCTCTTGCAGTTCCGCCATCCTACTTAGTACTACTAATCCATCGACTCGACATGCTCGGCGCACATACGGTTCCTATTAACTTTCACGACTATGATGTTCCCTTAACCGTCAAAACACCCGGTCGCGCCTTGCATAAGAATCGACGGGAGAACGCTCACACAGTTGGCGCGTCGCACCGGAAGAAGGTGCACATCGGAACACCCTTTACGGGAAAGGCGAAGGGAAAGACCCTTGGGCTGGGTAGAGGGCCGCAGACGGATTCAAGTATGCAGATGCTCGCCTTTCACTCTGGAGTGTGCTAATGCTCGAGTAGAAACACAGTATCTTCTCACACTCGACGATAAGGCCCCTGGCGGATCCAAGCAGTCCATACTTAAACCAAAAACTGAGATAATCCAGACTATCGCGAGACCACTTGGGGACAAAACGCCTGCTCCCAATCGTGCGGCACAGCTTTTGAGTACCGAAACTAATGGCGGAAAGCTCGGTAAACTGGACCTAGACCCTGCTCTGCCTGCTGAGACTCCGGCACCTGCGCCGACGCCTTTTATCCGACCTTCGTCCACGCGCAAGTCGACACGCGCGCGACGGTCCAGCTCGCTGAGTATCGGCGGGCTGCAGCAGAAATTGGGCCTTGGACCAGGGGCTTTCCAGACGCCGAAGACGAATGGATGCCCTTGGGATGTGTCGGAGATGGATATTCAAGTACCGGAGACGATGGAGGAAGGCGTGGAGGCAGCGGAGGAATCGGAAGACGATAGCGAGATTGAGTATATGCCACCTAGGGCTGAAGGTGAGTTCGAACCATTCGCGTTTACAGAACACTAGCAGAGGCCCTAACTGTGCAGCCTCACCTTGATAGAACAACCGTACGAGCCGCCTTTTCCTATGCCTGACTACAAACAGCTTGGAAATATGCTGCGGACTCTTGCGTATACGCCTAAGGTCTATGATGAGCCTGTCATCAACTGGAAGGGCAAGTGCTTCCAACCTTCATTACCTGCCCGTCAAATAATCAGCATCTTTCGTACTGCAGGCGAGATGACCGAAGAGGAAGAGCAAGCTCTACTTAGGGATAGCGGCTTCACGGGCGTCATAGAAACGCTCTCTGGACCTCGTACGTTTCTTTGTCTTCTCAATATCTAAACAAGCCTGATCTCTCTTACGACTGCAGCCGATGATCGGCCCATTGTCCTCCTCGACCTGGATCCTCCCGTGAAGTCAGCCCCACCGGCGCCTGCAGCAACGGGCGATGCCAAACAGACTTCTGGGCCTATTCGTGGAGGGCCTTCAAACACCGTTCGTTCAAACGCGATGAGGCCTGCTTCTCGCCCGATAGCATCTGCGCGCTTGGCTATAACCAGCAAGCCCACGACCGCACCTCGACCCAAATCAACTTCTACTTCGAACAACGCTCCAGCGGATTCCAGCCGGGGTATCGCGAAGCCGTCAACCGTCACCCGACCACTAGCATCGACTGCTTCCAGCCGCTCATTGACGTCCGTTTCGGCAGCGATCGCTGCTCCTGCTCCAGGGATCGGGCGCGCTACATCTGCAATGGATAATCATCGCAAGCCTACTGGTGCAGGGACCGTAGGTACGAGGACGATGCAGGGGTCTAGCGGCATTCGGCCTGCGACATCTTTCAGTTCAAGACCTGCTCCCATCGGCAGCTTAAGGAATACGGGGTCCATGTCGCGTACCGGTATTCCCGCACGCTCAGCGGCCAGCGGAGCAAATCCAAAGGCTGCCACGGTGTTGACGAAACCTAGCACACGGCAGCCTGGCAACCTTGATGACGAGTGGAAACTGGACACGGATGAGCAGTTCGATGAATTTCTGTTCGACGTTTGAATTCATTATTATATGCAGTTTCGCTCTGCTCACAGCTATCTCACCTCGTATGCGTACGGGTCCAGTATGTAACCATATGACTTTCTAGGGTTACTTAATGCCATATAATTTATAAAAGGTGTCTTAGAGTTTCGTGTTTGGCTCTGTTTGGGCCGATACAAGCTCCGGATGGGGCTGTGCAACTGCACAGAATGTCCGACGTTGATCTCGCTGCTGCCGATCTTTTGGGCAACGTTGACTGGGATGCAACTGACGACGTGAATGAAGACTATGTAGAGGGAGAAGAGGATTACGATGACGAAGCAGACGCTGAGGGCGTGGACGACGACGACAACAACGATGAAATCGCCCGGAGGCTGAACGAGCAATTGTGGGCCGACATTAGCAAAGCGCAGGCGGACGCTCAGGCCAATCCTGATGCACATCCTTTGACTGGAAGTAACAAACATTTGGCGGCAATAGCTACGGTTCGCGCTATCATCGCATCGCTCGACCAAGACCCAGTCGCGCGGGGCGTGCTGGCGAGCACGGTTGTACCTGGTCCAGAGTGCGACGGCGCGACGGTGCTGCAGGTTTTTCATCGGATAGTGGTGGGATCGGAGGAAAACAACGCATACAAGGTGCCGAAAAGCGTTGCGAAGGTGTTGAGTGCAATAGTGCTCTCGATTGTCGGCAACCAAACGCTTTTCGCGGGACTATCAGCTGCGAATGGCGAGGGAAAACGCAAGCGAGAGGATGAAGAGACGCTTTTCGGCACAAAGAGGACGCGAACGAACGAGATGTACCATCCGGTGTTCGACGCTGTGCGCACCATCGCCGATACGCTCGCAGCGCCCTCCTCAAGCGCGGTCGTGGATGCCTCTACGATATCCACCATTCAAGTGGCTCTTTACCAGGTGTTCCTCTTCGCAGTCACATCTGCACCCTGCGCAGCATCTCCCGCTGCTACCTCCGCTCTGCAAGACATCGGCGCGCTTATACAAGTTTTAGGCGTCCTCAGCGGCGTCAAAATCGAGCATTCTTCCCAATTGTCGAATACGTCCACCACCATCGTGGATATCGGCGCAGCCGTGTACCCCTGCACAACATCCGGCTGCTCCAAGGTCTTTTCCCGTCTGTACTCCCTCCGCCTCCACACCCGCACGCACGAGCAGCCGCAGGGCGATCCGCGCCCGTTCAAGTGCGCACAGTGTCCCGCGAGCTTCGTGCGTAACCACGACCTGAAGCGACACGCCCGCCTGCATGACCGCCGCGCATGGAGGTGTGGCGGGTGCTCGAAGATTTTCTCAAGGCGAGACGCGATCAAGAGGCACAGGAACGCGGCAAGCAAGACGCCTGGCAGCGCGTGCGTGAATGCGGAGGTGGAGGAGGTGGATGTTCCTGAGGAGGCTGAGGGCGAGGACGGGAAGGAGGTGCGGAGGACGAAGATGTGGAGCGGGATGATGGGCACGACGTTCATGGGCGGGGCTCAGGGAGGGGTGGAGGATGGGGAGGTTACCCTGGACGAGGTGACGACTCTGCAGGAGGAGGTGTTGAGACTGCATGCAGTGCTGAAGTCGCGAGTCGAGCGTGCTATGGGTGGACAAGGACGACATGCTCTAAGTCCCACGAGCACTGGCGATGCGACGCTCTCGGGTTCATCAAACACCACCACCACAACTCCCGCTCCTTTTCAAGCGCAAGAAAACGGCGCTGCGCAGGATAATACCGCCTACATGTCTCTCTCGTTTCCCTCGGACAGTCCTTCCACATCTGGTATCGCTGCGACGTCTTCCGCTCCGTTATCGTCCTACGGTCTTTCGGAGGAGCAAACCCGCCTGTTGGAGGCTGCGATTGCGCAAGCTGCGAGTGCGGCGCAGGCCCAAGCTGAGGCGGAAGCGCTGGAAGAGGAGGAGGATGAAGAAAATGGTGATGGTGAGGAGAACGTCGAGACGGGAGCTGAGAGCGGTGGAGCTTTGACGGCAGACGTTGAAGCGACGGTGGAGGAAGAGGAGGTAGACGATGATGATGACATGGTTGAGGAGGATATACCTGCTATGTCCGGTGCGGCTACGTGATCGCGGTGTGGGCCAATCAGGTATGCGCACTGTATTCCGACCTTTTACGGATGTAACACTAACCCACATGCCGGACTAGATTGTGAGGTTCTGCTAGACGCGTGTCTACCCACCCTGGTGGTTCAACAGGTATCCGCCAGCTGACAGCAGATACCTTAACGACCTCTGGCGATTAAAACTTGGCACTCTTCTTCGATCCCGACCGATACATTCACAACGTCATTGCCTCCACCGGCGTCTTGCATACGAGGCAATCATCAGTACCGTTTGGAAGCGCCCACGTTTTCCATTCAGGTCGAGCTTCGGTCACAAAGCTTCTCCGATCGTTCCAATCATCAATTTCGTGGACGACTTGATGGCATTCATGAGTAGCTGTATTTCAGTCGGCACCCCCTTCATCTTACATCGGACCGTGGATGGTCGGCTCCTGTGTCTATCGACGTTCATCCTGGCTTCCTTGCATTCCCCGATCTTGTCGGCAGTTCCTGATCGGACCACCATAAAACGGGACAGGGCGCTATCAGAAGTCCTGAAAACGTGGTTCCGACAGGGGAGGAGGTAGCAGAGACCATATAGGGACATATAGAGGGCCGCGAGGCATAACACTGCACAGTCAGAAGCTCCAGCATCTCTCCCTGTCCAACTCGAATCCAGCGTCAATTGCGCTGTATCAACGACCGATTATCGTTGCGCTCGGGGTACTTACCGCCTTCTCTTCAGTGGGTGATAGTTTCTCCCATATCGCTACTTCTGTCTGCCCCCTGGGTAAATGTTGCTCTCCGCAGACGAAGTCGGTGCTTCGATGCTATCTTATCTTGCCGCCCTTGTGAAAGAGCTACATATAAGTGTTCCCGAAGCCCTACCCACCAGAGCGAACGAGTCGGAATCGCTTTGCCTCTTGCTTTCTGCTGACCACGCCAGAAGAAACCCAAAATGGCCGAATCCGAGTTCAGACCTTTGCTCTGTACGTTCGTACTCACAAAGGTTGATGCGGGTGACTGACGTCATATGGATGCAGCGCAAAGTGTTGGCTATGGTGTCGTCGTCGGTACGCTTACCGTCCTCAGCACAAGTGGCGACAGGATAAATTTGTGCGACTGATGCTCATCTCTGGCAAGGTGTCGGATTCTTCTTCGCAGCAGTGATGCTGGTCTTGACATACGTTCAAACCAAACACACGAAGCTTTCACCTCATTCTTCAGAGGAGTTTTCTGTGGGTAATTTTGATTTAATTAGGTGATATTCTGCTTACAACATCTTGCGATGTAGAGTGCCTCGAGGAGCGTGAAACCCGGGTTGGTTTGTTGTGGAATGTGAGCGAGACGCTGACCCATCTTATTCGATACTTACGTGATGTTCCGACAGAGTAAGCGCGTGGACATGGAGTGCAACCTTGCTCCAATCTAGCACTGCTGCATACACCTTTGGTAACGACCTGTCCCTGATAGTTGGTTCCGCTCTACTAAAACTGAACCCTCACAGGCGTCAGCGGACCATGGTAACGGATCCTTGCCACGTGTTCTAAATACTCCTGCCAGTGGCTCATGAGCATCCCATCGTAGGTGGTACGGCGTTGGGGGAACAATACAACTCGGTATCTTCGCTATGGTCGCAGCTAAGGTCAAAATCAATGCCAACGGAGGTTCGTTCCGAAGCTGTATCCGCATTGACGTATCAGTATCTCATCCACGTTACTTCGACAACAGCGCATACCTTCCTCGAGGTGGTCATCCATCATGTCGACATCGTGTCTCGGACTCTGATCGTGTCTTCAGATCGTAAAGGTTCGCTTCGGGACAGCCGCGCACCTGGTGTTCACTTTTTATGCCGTTCTCTGCAACCTAGTAGTCAGCGGTTCTTTAATCTGTACGTTGGAGCCATATCGCACGATAATTGACGTTGAAGATCAGCGTAATCAGTGGGTGGAGCCGCCACGGTGAATGCGCTGACGGGCATGCCCATCATCGCGGCATGTTTCCTGTTACCGATTGGTATCGCCGTTTACGTCGTCTTCGGCGGACTACGTGCTACCTTTATATGCGATTATGCGCACACAGTGATCTTATTCACCATCATATACCTCTTTATCTTCCGAGCATAGTGAGTAAAGTCCCCTTATAAGGCTACGTGAACCTCTCACTCAAGCCCCGCAATGCTTCAGTGGAACTGCCGAAGATATCGGCAGTCCGAATAGCATGTACGACCTGCTGGCGCAAGCGGCCCGAAATACGCCTGTGGTGGGGAATCAGAACGGCAGCTATTTAACGATGAAATCCAACCAGGGCTTGGTGTTTGGTGCTACCACTATCTTGTCGGGCTTTGCCGGCGTGTTTTGCGACCAAGGTACGCGCCAACATGCTCGTTCCATGAGTACGATCCTAAGGGTCATCTGCAGGTTATTGGCAGAGAGTAAGAAGAAAAAGAAGACCGTACCTCGTGGCGCGTCTAATGTCTCCTTACAGGCCATTGCCAGTGCGCCTGAATCCACCACAAAAGCCTATGTAAGTCTGCCACTTTCGTTACCTGGTGACTCCCGTTCAGTTCATCCCTGACCTGAACTGCCCAAGATGCTCGGGGGTTTGTCTTGGTTCGCGGTACCCTGGGCCTTCGCGTCGTGTTTGGGCTTGGCTGCCCGAGCTTTGTTGACGAACGTGCGCTGGTTCCCCTCACACTAGATGCGCTTGAAGTAACCCTGTTATGCGCACCTTCAGCCGAAGTTTCCAACGTACCCTAATCCTTTGTCAGCTTCACAAGCGAGTGCTGGACTGGCCGCTCCCGCCGCTGCCGCGGTTCTAATGGGTAAAGGTGGCGCTGTCGCTATTCTACTAGTGGTCTTGTGAGAACTTCCAATTCTAACGAGGTCCTTTAACTGATCAATCCTAGTATGGCCGTTACTTCGGCGGCGAGCGCAGAGCTTATCGCGGTCTCGAGCATCTTGTGAGTCTGTTCGTATCAGTCGGATGCCCTTGCTGACCCTATTTCATGACAGTTCATATGAGTAAGCTGCACGTGAAGAGTTACTTGAGTATTACTCAGTTGCATCTGCAGCCTGTATCGTGTTTACTGGAGGAAAACGGCTGGCGGCACGGAGCTTGTACGCGTCTCGCACTATTTCATCGTGTTCTGGGCCATCTGGATGGGCGCTTGGTCAACTATCGTGAGCCCATCATGCACCTGATGAGCTGTAGCTGATCCTCCCGATTTAGCTGAATAAAGCTAGTATTGACCTCGGATGGGTGAGTTCGTCGTGGTGATCAAGAGCGATTATTCAGTACACTCACATTACCACAGCTCTTCTACGTGCAGTGCGTGTGCGCCGACATGACACGACCAGTCCATCTGACATACCTTCCAGGGGCGCAGTGCTGAGTCCAGCGGTAATTCCGGTTGCATTGACAGTTGGTTGGAGCAAGTTGACGGCAGCCGGTGTCTTATCCGGTTCAATCATCGGCGCCATCCTTGGTATACTCGCATGGATGATCGGGTGTCTGAAGATTTACGGCAAGTCATCACTACCGCTTACTAGTCCCACGACACTCATGCTGTCGCAGGAACAATCAACATAACAAACTTGGCTCTACCATACTCCGCGATCTGCAGCGGGCTCACCGGTCTTCTCTTTTCCGGAATCATCACTGTTGTAGTCTCCCTTCTCGGTTCGTGGTCTTCCATGGTCGACCGGAGTCAAGCTCACAGATGCATAGGCCGTCAGAACTATGACTTCTCCGGGACGAGGGCTATTGCTATGGTGGACCCGGTAGTCAAAGAGGATATGCAAGACGTTCCTGAAGAAGAAGCAAAGCGACCCAGTTCCAGCGTGGGAGCACAGGAGAAGAACGACAAGGATCCGGAAGCTGGGGTCACCACTGTGACAACGATTCCCGTCGCGTCGGAGACAATCCCGCCCTTCGCTCAGGAAGGACACAAGCCTGCAAGTCGGGAAGTGTTGCAGGCTGTGTACAGAAGGGCAGCGTGGATGTCGCTGGCTCTGACCCTATGCGTAGCTATCGTGAGTCCTCGCTCGTCGCACATTTGCACGCAAAATGACCAGCGAATCAGCTTGTACCGTTACCCATGTTCTTCTCGCACTATGTTTTTAGCAAGGAATTCTTCACCTTCTGGATTGCGTGCACGATCGTAAGCTGCAGCCCGCATGGTCCTGAGATGAGCTTTTGATGGCATTTTGTGGCAGATCTGGGCTTTCCTGTCGGGCACATTCTGCATCATTCTCCCCGTTGTGGAGTCTCGGAAACAGATCTTGACAATTGTCAGAGCATCTCTCCGGGCATTGCGTCTCGTTGGGCACGACCATAGCAAGGCGTGAGAGGCAGGTTGTCCTTTTCTTTTGATGAATACGGACTGAAGTGGATATCATAGAAGCAGGCCTGGAAAGCGAACGTGCTGTTGTAGCCACCTGAATACTTGAATTGAGTACTTGAATGCTAAGAAACTGCCTCGGCATCTGTGTGCATGCTGATGCTGTTAATTACTGAGGGACCGCCGCGGCCCAGGTCGAGTGGCACGCCCTGGCATCCCCGCAATCTTTCTCTCATACAGGAACTTCCATTCTCTTCCTGGGTAAATGCTGCACTCCGCAGACAAAGTTAGCTCTTCGACGCTATCTTATCTTGCCGTGCTTGTGAAGATGCTACATATAGCTGTTCCGGAAGCCCGTGTGGTCACTGGAGCGCAAGATTTATAACGTTGACGTTTGCTCGGTCTTGATCTCTTGCGCCCGCGTTGAGCAACTGAAAAGTTATGTCTTCAACGGCCGAGTCCGCATTCAAACCCCTACTCTGTGCGATGAAAGTGTTCCAGGGCGCTGATAAGGATACTAACGTCATATGGACATAGCGCAGGGCGTCGGTTATGGTGTAGTCGTTGGTACGTGCCATTTACCTCCTTCGTGGCAATTCAATGATGTGAATTATCTGGTCCTTTCGCATCAATGGTGCTTCACGTAGGAGTCGGATTTTTCTTCGCGGCTGTGATGCTGGTCTTGACATATGTACAAGCCAAGTTCACCAAGCTTTCGCCGCATTCATCAGAGGAGTTTTCTGTAAGCAAACATGGGAACTGACGACAAGTTTTCGCTCATAAAGACTTGAAGAGCGCTTCCAGGAATGTTAAGCCTGGATTAGTATGCTGTGGGATGTGAGTTCCGCTAACTCCCTGGCGACAGACTGCCCTGATCCATGATTAGAGTCAGTGCGTGGACGTGGAGCGCGACCTTACTTCAATCGAGCACTTCAGCGTATACATTTGGTACGAAGTTGTGTCTATCGCGCTGGTTTCTGAGACTGAGATTATGTATTAGGCGTCAGCGGCCCCTGGTAGTCGATTATCGTGCTCTTGGTCTAGCTGTGGCTAACGATAGACTCCCGAAGGTGGTACGGGGTTGGCGGGACCATTCAGCTCGGCATATTCGCCATGGCCGCGGCCAAGGTCAAAATGAACGCAAACGGGGGTGAGTATTTGCTTGTTCGAGTACAAGGGCGGCACCCTGAAAGGATGTTGGAACATAGCACATACCTTTCTTGAGGTAAGTATTCGTTGTATGGACCGCAACTTCGGAACCTCATAGATAGCGCAGATAGTGAAGGTCCGCTTTGGGACTCCCGCTCATCTGGTCTTCACCTTCTACGCAGTTCTCTGCAACATCGTAGTCAGCGGGTCCCTCATATGTACGTCACGATGGCAATCCCCCGAAAGTAACTGCTCATCGTTATACGAGCAGTGGGAGGTGCGGCTACAGTCAATGCGCTCACCGGCATGCCCATCATCGCGGCCTGCTTTCTCTTGCCTATCGGCATCGCCGTCTACGTCGTCTTCGGCGGGCTTCGTGCTACCTTTATATGCGATTATGCGCACACGGTGGTTATCTTCACCATCATTTACTTGTTCGTCTTCCGAGCATAGTGAGTGTTAGGCCCTCATTTATGAGAGATTGATGATCCGCTGATCGGATTGCCCGCGTTCGATAGTGGTACTGCTGAAGATATCGGCAGTCCAAGTAGCATGTACGATTTATTGACGGAAGCAGCAAAGATTATGCCTGTAACGGGGAATGAACATGGAAGCTACCTCACGATGAAGTCTAATCAGGGCTTGGTGTTTGCCGCTGCTGGTATGTTGACAGGATTATCGGGGGTGTTCTGTGACCAAGGTGTGTTCGTCATTGATCACGATGTTTGCATTTTGCGCTTACGGGGTGCTATCTACAGGTTACTGGCAAAGAGTAAGATGAGAGACGTTGACAACCCGACAACCATGTCTAATCTGGGACATTTTGTAGGCTATCGCCAGCGCTCCAGAATCTACCACAAAAGCATATGTACGATCCTACCCTTCTCTTTCTCCAAGGACGGAGCGGCCTTATCTTACACCCAGATGCTTGGAGGGCTCTCTTGGTTCGCGGTACCTTGGGCTTTTGCATCATGCTTGGGCCTGGCCGCTCGCGCTCTGTTGACAAACGTGAGCTCGGTTCTATACTCGTCAAGATACTGGTACTAACGACATGGAATCGTCTGTAGCCCAAGTTCCCGACGTACCCTAATCCGCTATCTGCGTCGCAAGCAAGCGCCGGGCTGGCTGCTCCTGCAGCTGCCGCTGTATTGATGGGAAAAGGAGGAGCAGTGGCGATCTTGCTGGTTGTTTTGTATGTTGGTGGATATTCCTTGCAGCTTCGAGCCCTAAATCGTGCCTAGCATGGCCGTCACCTCTGCGGCAAGTGCAGAACTCATCGCGGTATCGAGTATCTTGTGAGCCGATTTAGATATACCGTGGTTACTTGCTCTGATCGAAACGAACCCCAGCTCCTATGAGTGAGTTCCGGCAATCAGATCCGAGAAACACTTGCGCCAAACAGGTAGCTAGCTTGTATCGTGTGTACTGGAGGAAAGCTGCGGGAGGGGCAGAAATCGTGCGGGTTTCGCACTGGTTTATCGTGTTTTGGGCGATCTGGATGGGGGCATGGTCGGCGATCGTAAGTCCGAGATCATACACCACCTCGCATTGCGGTTTATGTTTGTTTTGGCGCCCAGCTCAATAGGGCGAGTATAGACCTTGGATGGGTAAGTCGCCTCTGAACGACCATCGCACTTTCCCCATCTGTTGACGACGCAATGCAGCTTTACTATGTGCAGTGAGTTTCCCGTTTGCCCCCCATACACGCGATGTGCTCGAAGCGCGTCTTACACTGTTTTCAGAGGCGCAGTCCTCAGCCCCGCAGTGATCCCGGTCGCCTTGACTGTGGGTTGGAGCAGGCTCACAGCGACAGGAGTTCTCTGGGGCTCCATCGTGGGGGCGATCCTCGCCGTCCTCGCTTGGATGATCGGATGCCTCAAGATCTACGGTAGGTAGCTATAGTTCCGGGCTTTGTTCGCTTTGTTGAGCACGACATTGCAGGGTCGATCAATATCACCAACCTCGCCCTCCCGTACTCCGCGATCTGTAGTGGTGTCACGGGCCTCCTGTTCTCCGGAGTCATCACCGTCGTAGTATCTCTACTTGGTACGTGGCACACTTTCGCGATTCGGGGGGTCCCTCGCTTACATCTTCCCTAGGGCACCAAAGGTACGATTTTGCTGGGACGAGGGCTATCGCTGTAGTGGACCCGGTCGACGAAGAGGATTCGGGCGTGCAAGGCGTACCTGCAGAACGGGAGGACAGCGCAAGCTCGAGCGCGGGCGGGCAAGAGAAGAACGCGAAGGATCCGGAGGCTGGGAATACTACCGTAACGACGATCCCTGTCGCTTCCGAGACGATGCCACCGTTTTCGTCGGGAGGGACCAGGCCGCCTGCGAGTCCGGAGGTGTTGCAAGCGGTGTACAAAAAGGCGGCTTGGATGGCTCTGGCGCTCACGCTATGTGTCACGATCGTGCGTCGCATGTCTGCTTTTCAGCTTCGTCCCGAATCTGAAGGGAGGGAGAACTGTAGATCGTGCCGCTGCCCATGTTTTTCTCGCATTACGTGTTCAGCAAGAGCTTCTTCACTTTTTGGATCGCATGCACAATCGTACGTTGCAATTCAACGGGTGACATGCTCGTCGGCGTCTTGACGATATCGTTTTCCCTTGCAGATTTGGGCGTTCTTATCGGGCACATTTTGCATCGTCCTTCCAGTGATCGAGTCTCGAAGGCAGATCTTGACGATCGCGAGAGCATCTTTCAAGGCATTACGGTTCGCTGGGCGCGGCGACCATACAAAGGCATAGATGGCGAGAAATCCCCACCATAAAGTAGACAAATGCTCTTGTCGCGTCTACCACGGTGCAAGGACCAGATTCAATCCAATCGGAAAACTAGCAACATTGATGTTTGGTGGTCGCGCTAAGAGATCGCCTTCGATGTTCCTGTAACAACTTAGCCTCATCGGTGCACTGGTGCCGACGGCAAGCCTGAGGGTTCAACGTTCAACTTCACGAGAACGGCGAACATTGACGACAGAGGGCTGACCGTCAGTGAAACGCCGTCGCAATCACGTGATAGCGGGCGCTGTCAGTGAACGACACGCGAGTCGAAGACGCGAGATTCCTGCGTTGCACGGCGTCGGCACTCACACATATGTTATACGCTGGGAACGAACTCCGATGGGCGACCTGTTTATGGACTGCACCTCTCATGTACGAATCCACTGCGGGCAATTCGCCAAGGCACCCGGGCTGCGGAAGGCACTGCGATTCTTTTTTTTTTTTTGGACGAGTAGATATTCTTATTCAGCAATTGACAGGCATGTCTAACCCTAAATAAGCTACTCCTAAATAGCGGGCTTTGTGGGCCCGGTCCGAGGAAAAATGCTCAATACCACGACCCCTGGGGGAACTCCAGGGCGAGTGGGGCTCGTGCACTACCAAGGTGGCTCCGGTCTGCGGAGTCTCGGCAGCTTAATACCCACTAAAACCTCACGGCGTTTGGCCCAGTCATCCGGGAGCGCTTGCTCGTTTGCGAGCATTCCGTCCCATGTTCCCTGCACTTTCCGTGCATGCGACGCCGTGCGTACTGTTCTGCATGCCATGGTGTGGTCACTTTCTAGCCGCCTTTGTATGGCTAGTTCCCATCTGCGCCGTATTGTTTCTCCGCTGTGTGTCCTGTCTTGTATTGTTCTTTCGCACCGGAGTGTCCATATCAGGTGCGCGGATTCTGATATCAGTATTTTCATCAGTCTTGATCGGTTGGTCCGGAGTGTGTCAATTCCTGTCTCTTGGTTTGTCTCTTTGATCTGTATTGCGCCGCATCCAAGGATGAGGCCGAGTGTGATGTCAGGCGGGGCTCCTCGGCGGTGCGGCCAGGCGTCGTGTAGTAAGTCCCACACGACCTTCCTCGGGCCGTTGCCGCATTCCGTCATTATGTGCTCCATCGATTCCTCATCTCCACAGTAGGCGCATGCCTCCCGTTCTGTGAGGCCCGGGACATTCTGCCAGAACTTCCCTAACTTATGGGATCCGTGCATCGCACGATATAGGAGTTGTCTTACCGGCTGGCGGAGGTCCTTGCATTTTGTCGACTTCCACAGGGTTCCGTCGTCCAGCATCACTCCATTGGTCCTCTGAATTGCGTGTCGTGCCATATCTAGTGGGGCTAGAGCTGCCGGGCGCACGGTTTTTAATCCTTTGTGAGTCATTATCCCTTCATACAGCAGGGATTGGGTCATCGCCGATAGTTTTGCTCCTCGAAGGTCGAATTCTGGGGGGATACTAAGGTCTAGGGTATCAGCTCTGTCTTTGTTGGTACCTTCTTTCGCGAGTACGTCCGCTCTCTCGTTCCCTTCTTCTCCAGAGTGGCCTTTCACCCAGACGAAGTCCGTTGTCGCAGAACGTCGTCTCAGATGGAACGCGGTGGCCTTGAACAGGTCGGAGTTCGCCACCCCTATCCACCCTATATCCTCCCATGTTGGGAGGTGTGTTGTCAGGCCGTCGATCACATACATCGAGTCTGTTTTGAAGAGTATCGGCACGAAGGGCGCCATCGCCTGTAGTGCCACAAGGACCGCCGCGATTTCACCCCGCTGGTTCGAGTGTTTGTCTCCCGGCACCCTAACTGCCTTGCTTGCGTTCGGTATGTCTGGTATCCAGACTCCGCTTCCGCTTATCGCGTCCATCGATCCGTTGTTTGTGCAGGAACCGTCCGTGTATATGACGATTTTTTCCTCTTCCACGTTCCGCCCTCTGGCCGGTCTGCTCAGCCGTGTGGCGGGTTCTCGCCCTGGTTCGTGTCCGCTTGTGAAGACCCGTATTCCCTCGCCTGGGTTGGTTTTGAGGGTCACTGATGGGTCGAATCGTATTACACCGCGTCGGTTTCTCTCCTGTCTATTCTTTTCTCGTCTGGTGTGCGTCAGGGTTAGCCCGTCGTTTCGCCCTTTGTTGTGTATCGAGAACCTCGGTTCGATCCGCCGGAGTATCGTATCTGCCCTTTGGCAGCATTGGTTCGGGTCCTTGCATCCCGCATTTCGGTCAGCAGAACATTCATTGCATTGGCATCTACTGTGCATTGAGTGGCTAATCTTCCCCAATCTCTTTGCGTGGTCTAGCATGTCTTTTACAGTCACCACGCTGTGTGCCGTTTTCAGGCATTTATCTTTCGTCCTGTGGTACGTCCATCTTGGCGCTCCCAGGTGGCACCAAGCCGGCAGGAGGAGCTTCACCCGGTCTGCGATCCTGACCGCGTCGAAGATAACTCCATATTTCCTCGCCATCTTCAGCCAGAGCACGATGTCCTTGGGCATTTTCGCCGCGTTCGGTCCTTGCGTCGGCGCCGACCAGTCCTGCAGGAAGGAATTCAGCCTGTCTTGCGAGTCAACCCCTCGTGGGGCGGCGCTGTTCACTAGTAGGTCCGCCAGGGCGGCCCATCTCGGTCTTTGACTGTCCATGGTAAGGTATTCCCGTAGCCATACTAGCGCAATGGCTTCGTTCCTGGCCTCTAGGTTAACTAGGTCTATTCCTCCTTCTTCTGTGGGTCGTTGGAGTTCGGCCATTGCTATCGGGGATGCACGGCCTTCTCCCCACATAAAACTCCGTATCATCTTGTTCAAGTCTTCTAGCACCGTGTTCGGCATTCCTTGGACTCTCGTTTTATATTGGGTGAGTCCTCCAACAACCATCTGTACGACGAGGGCCTTCCCTCGCAGCGTTGGTCTTGCTACCTGCCATCTATCTAGGCTTCGTTTCACCTTGTCCACCGTGTCCGACCATACGCCTGCCTCGTCTATTCCATTCCCGATCCAGGTTCCAAGCAGTTTGGCCGCCTCCCCGTCTTTCAAGATTCTCGCGTCTGGTGGAATCGTTTCCGTTTCGTTCGTGTCGATCTTCCTCGTCTGCCACACCCTCTCGCGGAACTCTACGGTACCTATCGGTATGATTTCCGTCTTGTTTTTGTTAAACTTTGCTCGCGACGCTCTGCACCATCCGTCTAGAATGTCGAGGAGATCACTGTATCTGTCCTCTGCGGACAAATATACAGTCGTGTCGTCGGCGAATAATGCCGTGATGATGGCCTCCGTTGCCCCCGGGATCCGGAAGCCTTTTAGTCGTCCGTCCGTCCTTAGTTTGCATGCTAGCGGCTCGATCGCAAGGTCGAAGAGGATGCACGATAGTGGGTCCCCTTGCCGTACGCCTCTCGTTACCTTGAAGGTCTCGCTTTTAACGCCGTTTATCATTACGGTAGTGTTAGCGTTCGAGTACAGGGCTTTAACCGTGTCGATGAAGCGCTTCGGTAGGTTGAATGCCTCTAGGGTTGCCCAAAGGTACTCGTGGTCGATTTTGTCGTACGCCTTCTCTTGGTCTAGTGCCACAATTATCCCGTCTTCCTCCATGGCTTCCGCGTATTTGATCATTAATTGTGACAGCTTCACCTGGCTGAAAATCGACCTGCCTGGTATAAACCCGGCCTGGTCGCTGTGTACCATTTCGCCGATCACGTCCGTGAGTTGCATGGCTAGGGCTTTGGTGAGTAATTTATGGTCTGTGTTGAGAAGGGTTATTGGCCTGTAGTTCGCGATGTCGGCTTTGTCTCCCTTCTTGTATATCGGGCACATCCATCCGTCCGTGAATTGCGTGTTCTCGTCCACACCTTGGGTTTGGATATCATTGAAAACCTCCGCCATTACAGCTAAGACGTTAAAGGACGCCATTTCGAACTTTACTCTTTTGGAATGCAGTGAGTCTAGTTCCTTCCATACTTCATATGGTATTCCATCCAGGCCTGTGGCCTTCCCGTTTTTTGATCTTTCGAGTGCTCGTCTGATGTGGTGTTCTGTCAGTGGTTCCTGCATCGCTTCCCCGACGTTCTCCGGCAGCTTCCGTTCTTCCGGGATCACTGCCAGAGCTGCCTCTACGTGTCGTCTGTGCGTCCCAGGCTCCCAACTCTCTTTCTCTTCGTCCTGTTGCAGCCGTTCATGGTGCGTTTTCGCGATATTCGCCATCGCGTCCGTGCGCGTAGCGTAGCGGTTGGGCGCGTCCAGGTGTCTTAGTCTCAGCGTGAGTTCTCGTGGTTTCTTCTCCTTGTTGATCGCGGTCCAGTATTTGGACACCGTCTCTCCCTTTTCTAGCCATCTTGCCTGGCTTATCTGCCTCGCGTCCCTTCTTAGTTTCCCCTTGAGGTGTCTTATCTCATTCTCCATCAGGGCTATGTTCCGTCTCGGTTCCGTTCCGTCCTCCAAACCCGCTTCCTCTCGGTTCATTTCCGTCGCAAGAGCATACTCTTTGCTTGCTAGCTTCCTGCTCGTCCGCGATAGGGCCGCCCCCGTTAGTAGGGCCGCCATCTCGGCGGTCCTGTCTTTGAATTCCTGCCAGAGTGTTTGCGGGTTCCTTTCTCCGGTGCGTCCTTCTCCGCGCAGTCTGTTTAGGTTCTCTTGGAGGCGCATTCCTATCTTTTCTACGGACGATATGGTGTGTGTTTCGTTCGTGAGTCCGGATGGCCACGTCCATCTTCCGGGCCCCATATAAGGCATTGTCGTCGGTGCGTACTTCATCCATACTATTCTGTGATCAGTCACTACACCGGGGGTTTGGCACACCCACTCGAAGACGCTCGTGCGCCGTTTCTCCGCTACGTAGATTCTGTCTAGTCTCGACATGGAGCCCGTCGCCCTACTGATGAATGTATAATTCCTCGTCGCAGGGTTCTCCGCTCGCCATGCATCATATACCCTCAGCGTTCGCCTGCAATCTCGGAGTGCTGTTGCTGCGCTGTCGAGTTCCGCCCTGGGCGGGGCCCTGTCTATGTCGTCTTCTACGATGTTGAAGTCTCCCAGCATGAAGTCTACTTGGGGAATTTCGTTTTCTCTCCTCATTCGTTCGATGCGTCCCCAGAATGCCGCGTGTCTTCCTGGTTCATTCGGGGCATATACGTTCAGCAGAGTGACCGTGTCTCGGTCGTGCCAGGGCAGTGTAATGGCTATGGCTCGTCCTTTCTCAATCGTTGTTACATTACAGCTTTTTGTGCTGACGACATCTCTGTTTAGTACGAAAGCTACTCCGGCTGAGTTGGACGGTCGTTCCGGGTCCGCGGAGTTGTGGATCCAGAGGCGTTTGCCGTACATCCTCTTCACTGCCTCGAGGTTCTGTTCTGTGAGGTGAGTTTCCTGGAGCGCCATGATGGCGATTTTTTCGTTCCGCATCATCGCGTGTATGTCGTTCCACTTGTTCAGTGGGGTTCCGCCCTGCGCGGTATGTCCGTTCATATTCAGGGTCGCCACTTTTAGGTGAGCGCGCTTCGCCCTTTTCGGGCCTTTCGAGGTTTGGTCGCCTCGCGCCTGTTCGGCGATTCCGCCTCCGAAACCTCCTTGAACATCATCGGGGCCGTGCCCGGCGGTGGTAGGCACGTTCTCTCTGTTCGCAGGAGGGCGCGCGCCAAGACCGGGATTTGGGACCGTAGGTAGGGGGGGGTAGTGTATGGTTGTGGTGTTGGCAGCAGGCTGTTGGCCCGTAGTGCGTCCTCTGCCTTCGAGGGCGCCGGGGGAGACTATTGTCGTCCGGTCATCCACGGACAGGACTATGCTGAGGCGTCCCTAGAGGCCTTGCTCGGGTAGCGGCGTCCAGTTCTTCGCTCAACTTAAGCTTACACGCGCGGCTCGTCCGACCTAAATAGGCCTCCGCTGGTACTTTACCAGAGCACCGGCCGTGTGGCTCGTCGACCATCAGTCCTCCTTCTTAGCGAAGAAGCTGTATATTAGGTCGTCGTAGCCAGGGGTGACTTGCGTCGCGGCCGGTCGACGCGTCCCCTCGAGTCCCGAGCCCTCGTTTGCAATAATATCATGTATTCGGTTCGGAGTTGGGGTCTACACGTCGCATGTCATCTATGTATTATTACGGTCGTTCGATCTGGTATGTTCGCGGTTACATTCCGCGCCCGCGGTTCCTTCCTCTGAATGCACCTCGGGCGGTCCCGTTTCCTCTGCGTCCTTGCTCCTGGGAGCGCGGTGAGGGGTTCTTCGTCGACCCGTGGAATCCCGACGGGATCTGCTCTCGAATCGGGCATAGGCCGTAGACATGGTCGGCTCCATAACAGAAGGTGCAGTGGCCGGCATGGCATTGCTCGACGGGTCCGACTCGCGAGTGCCAGAAGTTTGTTTTCGCCATTATCGCTTGGACGTCTCGGTATGCGCATGGGAGGGAGGAGTTAATTACTGGGCCGTATATGTTGTATCGCGGCTGCGGGCGTCCCTTCGGCGCGAGGAAGGGTAGGACCCGGCACTTCAGGTTGTAGATGAACTCGTTAACTTGTTCGATGGCTTTGTGGTCGTCGGGGTTCATGCCGAGGGCCATGACGATGTCGGAAGCCTTCCCTGCGAGGGCCACTTGAACGGCGTAGAGCATCAGGTCGGCGTCCACGTCCAGGGGGCCCTTCAGCGTGAGGTAGTAGGAGGGATTAACGAGGATGTCGTCGAAGCTCAGGGCAAGGAAGGCTATATCGGCTGAGGCAAAGACGCCCTGTGAGAGGATGCGGGCCCTGTTTTCTGCCGTCAGGTGAGTGATTAGGCCCGTGCGGGGTTGGCGTTTGTCCGCCGCTACCGGCATGATTATCCGTAGTCGCGCGCCGTCTTCGAGGAAGGTCTGAATTACTGCGCGTACCTCGCCGAAGGCGTCTTGGGCGTCGTCCGCCGAGAGGTTGGGTTTGTCGAAGATGGTTACGAGGACGTTATTGCTGAGGTTCTCGTCCTCCTCCGCCCAGTCGCGTATCTGGCGTTCTTGAATGTCCTCCAACTGCTGGAGTCGGAAGCGCATGTGGGGCACGGCCCATCCGCCTGCCGGCGTTTGGGCGATGGGGATCTCCATTCGGCGGGGGCGTTCCTTGTCGACTACCGCGTATGCTCGGTTCGCGATCAGCTGGTCGTCGATGATCGCGAGCTTCCCTTCGGGTGCGCTGTCTGGGGGGGGAGGGGGGAGGTCGTCGTCCCGCGAGACGTCCACGTCCGTGATCCTTTCGGAGTCCAGGGTCCCGGTGGGGCCTTTCGTCAGGGACGCCGCAACGAGTAGCGCGATTTCCTGTTGCCTCCGGTCCGCTTCTTGGGCACCAGCGTCCTGGGTTTCCTGCCCGCCCAGGTGTGTCCCTGCGTTGCCTGCGTTTCCAAGGCGGGGGGCGTGGAGGAAGGTGAAGGCGGTCTCCCCTCCGTCGGGGTCCTCCTGTGCCGCCATCTGCACGTCCGGCATCTCCGGTTGGGTCGGGGTGGAGGTATCGGCTTCGTAGGCTTCGGCGGGTCCGAGTGCCGTGGATTCGATGTCGACAGGGTGGGCGGTGATGGAGGTGTCTGCGCCTTGGGCGGTGTTCATGGTATCGTGTTCGGCGGTGGGCACGCTCGAAGTGCTGGCATCTGCGCCCTTGGCCGCCGTTGGCGTATCAGCGGCGACGGCAGGCGCGTTGTAGGGGACTGTCAGGACTCCGTGGGCGGCGGTTGGTGCCCCCTGGGTGCCGGTGTTCATTCCGAGGCTGGTGGTTAGTCCGTCTTGGCTGGCACCCGGGGGAGCGTAGGTAGGGGCCGGGTTGTTCTGGGATGCGGCGAGGGGGGGCTTAGCGGCGTCCGGGGCACCTAGAGTTCCCGCTAGGTTCGTGCGGCCAGCGATGTGTTCTCCTTCGACAGTGTTACCGGTGTCTTGGGCGGCAACGGAGCCGGTGTGGTCATCGACGGTGTGAGCAGCAGGGGGTTGGGTTACGCCTTGCGGTGTTCCTTCCGCGTTCGAAATCGCTGCCTTTGCCTCCCTGATCGCGTTTGCTGTTTCAGGGGGGTTGGTTTTGGTCGTTTTCGGAGGTGTGTGTGTTTACTTACCAACTTCTTGGATCGTTTTGCGCTTTTTTCCAGCTTTCCCCCCTCCCTGTGTGGGTGGCGGGTGGTCTTTACGGCCGTCCTCGTCCAGGACGGCGTATGCGTTCGGGTGACCCGGGATGCCGTCGACAGTGTTGGGTTGGTTGTCGGTAGCTGGTCCTCGTTTCTCGCCGTTCCCGGCTTTCCCACGACCTATTTGGGGTTAGGGCTTGTTTACATTCCGTTAATGCGTGAGCGTACCGCGTCCAGCGGGGTTGCCAGTCTTATTCATGCTCGCTAACGTCGCGGCTTTCGCTACGTTGCTGGTCGGTTCGGGTGCCATGGTGGTGCTCGCTCAGGTAGTGGTTTCGGTAAGGCGTTCTCGGTGCAGGGCTAGAGACGTTGGCGGCTGTTTTCATCCGGGTTAGTTTTAAGCTGGTCGGGGGGGCCGGTCGTGTCAGCCTATTCAATTCGGGTTTGTATTTCGGGGTTACACGGTGTATTAGGTGCCTATCAACCCTTGCCTTACGCCAGCATCTTTGGTAGTTTTGCGCATCCCGGCTGCGGTTCCGACTTCGTTCTCGTGTGGATACGCTTCTTGAAGCGGATAAGCATGGATTGTCGCTCTCGGGGCATTTCGGGTTCCTTCGGCCATTCCGGGTTCCCAGGTGGGCCATCTTTTGTCGTCGGTTGTGGTGCTTTCTCCGAGTTCTGTAGCTGATGGGGGGTTTATGAGACGCTCCTCGAGATTCCGCGGAGAGCCTCATACCACGTGTCGGCGCACGCGTGCGCATTGGATTCGGGCTGAGGCTGCTATGTAGCCGATGCTACGTTGGGCAGCATCTTGGCATGGTCAGTTTACTTCATCCCTGTGGTAGTCGCATGCTTACAGTCCTCTTGCTCTCTGTCTAGGAGGGTAGATAGGTGGGATATGAGGCTCCAGGGTACTATGTTCATGCTGACAGGTGGTTCATCGTCGTTAGGCATGGTGGGGAGGGGGGGGTGTCATCGCGCTCCGACGTTCGCCTTATATGCCTGCTTGTTTTGCCGTTATCGCTTATCGGTATTTTGCGTGGGCTCTATTACGTCCAGGAAGCATGGTATATGCGCTTGGGTTAAGCGATATGATTTAGTATATTCTTTGACCGCCCAGGTTCGTCTGGGTCATGTTCTTTCGGTTGCCTAGTCTTTGGTTTCCCATGGCTTGTCTTGATTCCAGCCAGTTTTACCTCCCGTGTGTTTCACTCGCGTTCGTTTGATTTTCCTGGTTGTGTTTCCTGTCGTCGCGGTGGTTGCGTTGGGTGTGGCTGTGCTTTCGGTGTTTGCCGGCTTCGTCTCGTTCGGCGTCATCCATTCCTGGTGACGTGCATCCATCTAATCCGTTGTATGTGTGGCCTCTTAACTGCTACGAGGGGTAACAGGATATTGTGTAGTTCATGTATATATGTCATGGCCGGGTTGTCATCCGAGGGGAGGATCGTATCCTCCCCATCCCTCCCAGCCCGGAGGCGTGGGAAACCTCGCCACGGTGGTGGTAAGAGGTCAAGGGAGCCCCCCACTGCGATTCTTATCTTCTCTGCAGCCTGAGTACTGCCAGATGATGGAGGGAACATGCCCGCTCGTATGTGCCAGCTGGTTGCCTCGTCGAGCCTGAGCTGGCCTTGGGCTCTTGGCTCAGGACGGTTGCTGGCAAGATACATTTACACTGCAAGTTGTGCGATGGTGAGCAACTCCTCGTGATGGGGGTCATCAAATTCGGACCCTTCTTGTAGATTCCGCTTCCAATCCCTTCCTCGGGCTGTGATGGGAAGCCTCCTCTGCCGTGGCAAGCCGTACTTCCACCATTCATCAAGCATCCCTAAATATCCTCTTCTCAACTCAAACGATAAAACCAGGTCGTTGTCTGCGGAGTGGTCGGCTCGGCTTGCCTTCAACGCCGCTGGCTCGAGCTGCCCTGATCCGCCCAGGACCATTGCCCCAAACAGGTTTCTTTGCTGCCGGAACACGGCGACACCTATTCAGTCCCGCTAACAGTCATCAAGCACAGTCAATCCACATGCTTCACACGAAGACCCGCATGCAGTTGCTTCTTCTCTAAATATATCACAGGAGCGACCTATTTTTCATCCGACCATATAAATGACGTTCACAGCCATCTCACCCTCCCGTTCATCCCCACCTACTCCGGAGCTCGACGATAAGCTATGTACAACAACGCCAACGTCGCTGGCGAGGACGACCCTCGGGTCAACACCACCGATGCCAAGGGTGTAGACACTCTTGAGCCCAGCCCACGTACGTACGCAGAGCTGCGCAGCTGTGGTGCCTGTCGTCGCTGACTCATTCCATTCGCAGATCCGGCTGTGGTGTCCTTCGAGGAGTATCTCGAATACGCGAAGCGGTCTCGTGCGTACGAGGAGCAATTGCACAGCGAACGCGTTGCCGGCAAGCAGGCCACCAAGACCGGTTCAGATCCCACTGTGAACTCAGATAGCAAAGGGTGAGAGTTTCTCTCAACCATCCCTCCACCCCGTATGTGCGTACTTATCGCCGATCCCCGTCAGTGAAAAGGCGCTCGTCACCGACGGCGAGTCGCTCACGGCTGACGAGCGCGAGCGGATCAACGCGCGGCGCGCCCTGCGCTCCGCGTCGTGGGCGGCTGTCTTCTACCTCATCACCACGGACATCCTGGGGCCGTTCAACGCGCCCTTCGCGCTCTCGCAGGTCGGCTACGTGCCCGGCGTGATCCTTTACTTCTTCATGGGCGCTGTCGCGTGCTACACCGGCCTCCTGCTCTGGTACCTCTTCCTCAGGCTCGACTCGGATCTGTACCCGGTCAAGACGTACGCCGATATCACAAGGAGGATATTCGGTTTGGAAGCGGCGCACGCAGTGAACGTGTTGCAATCGATACAACTCATCATCAATGTTGGGACGATTTGCCTTTCGAATGGGCAGAGTCTCAGCCAGATCTCGAAGGGCCACGTGAGTTGCACATTATACTTCCTTGTTTCATCTTCATGTATGAATGGGGAGGGAAGGCTATTCCCGGATCCGGATGAACGTCTTGATGACCTCCATATTCCTCCCGCCCTTGCTGCCCTTATCCCAACAACAACACCAACTCGACGCTGTGAATTTTCGCTGACCACGTTGGTTCCAGTTATGCTTCGCCGTCTGCATCGTCATCTGGGCATTCGTCGGCATGGTCATCGGCCAGGTCCGCACCCTGAAGAACTACGGCTGGCTGGCGAACAGCGCCGTCTGGCTGAACCTATCCCTCATCTTCATCTCGATGGGTTTCGTCGCACACTCGCCGCCGAACTTCCTTGCAGCCAAAGCAGCGTATGGGATCGATCCTGCCCCGGTGGTCACCAAGGCGTTCGTGACCTTGCCTCTGAGTACCAAGGTGAACGGTATTATGAACATGTGCGCATATGTATTCGTGTTCGTTGAGGAAGCGCTGCTGATATAGCCTTTTTAGGGTCGTAAGTGCACAACGCGTCAATTCACTGGGTCTGCTCTCATTATCTTCATGTAGTTCGCTTATGGTGGTGCCATGATTGTACGTCCGGTTGGCTCGATCTACCGGTTCTAACGCTGAGTCTCTTGTCGATGTCAATTTAGTTCCCGGAAATGCTCGCGGAGATGCGCCGGCCTTGGGATTTCTGGAAGGGCATGTGCTGTGGCCAGCTCCTGATCTTCTCCGCATATCTCCTCTACGGTTTGTGATCTTTCCATCTTGCCACGGTCATTCATAGTGACGTAGTGGATAGGCGTCTTCGTGTACAGCTTCCAGGGCCAGTTCACGCTCCCGCTTGCGTACCAGGGCGTGAGCAAGTACGCCTGGCAGACGGTCGGGAACGTTATCGCGCTTATCACGGGTATCATCGCGGTACGTGCTATTCTTGCGGTGGAGTCGACCGCTGGTGACATTGGGATAACAGGCGGGTTTGTATGGTAACATCGGCATCAAAGTCGCGTACTACAGTGGGTGCAACTCGCGGTTAGTCAAAATCTCGTGTTGACGTCGAATTTGATAGATATCGTGGAGGGCATGTTTAAGGGCCCGCGCCTCGAATCGGCGATGGGCAAGCGAATCTGGATCGGTACGTTACCCCCCCCCCCCTTCCCCCAATCGTTCGTTCGCCCGAGAGCATTCATCTAATCGCCCTATCCTCGCGAAGGTATGGTCCTCATATATTGGGCGCTCGCCTTCATCGTCGGCGCCGCCATTCCGCAAGTGCAGACAATCTCCGGTCTAGTCGCCGCCGTGTGCATCATGCAGTTTACGTACACCTTCCCGCCGCTGCTCGTCTGGGGTTACCTCGTCCGCCTCGACGGCGTGACCGCCGACGGCAAGTTCTCTCTCAGCCAGGTGGGTCCCCCTTTCCCCCTTTTCGCTCTCTGTTCGTCTACTGACGCGAAACCAGGGCGTAAGGACGGGCTCGCTCCGGCGGCTGCTGTTCAAGTGGTTCAACTTCGTGTTGTTCCTCGCCTCGCTTGCGATGGCGTGCTTGGGCATGTTCGGGAGCGGGACCGCGATCAAGGAGACGTTCAAGACGGCGCAGGCGACCAGCTTTGGATGCAAGCCTCCCGTGTAGATTCGACGGGCGGATTCAGATTACTTTGTTGTGTTTGTTTGTTGTAAGTGGAATAATGTCTCACGATACTATCTCTGTACGACTGCTGTAGTCTGTAGATACTGAAACGAAGTTAATGCAACTGCGGCGTTCTGGTGCGGAGTCATCACGGAGCCGACGCGGTGTGCGCCTATCAGTCAAAATGATCGTCGAGTGCTGCGTTCACATATGATGTTTTCTGTAAATGGAGACCGCTGCTTCCGTCGTCGTCCATCCTGAGACGGTAAAAAGTAAAGCCGCTGATGGGCGCGATGTACATACGGACAGAATCCGTACGATCGGAATGTGAAGGATCTGTCAAGGAAGGTAACGCTTGTCAAGCTCGTGTGGGTCGCGGCCGGAAGCAAATGAAAGTTGCGTTTCCCACGCATATTCGCGTGATCGGCGTCCGGACTTCTATCCTCGATCGCAACATACCGCGCCTCTCCAAGCTTGGCTAACACGCGCCTTGGCCCTCACAAGGTTTTCTCTCGCAGCAACAAAACACCGCTCTTCTCATAGGATTGTATGTGGAAGGGTTCGTACCGTGCTGCTGGGCGACGAACAGCCGCGGTTTACCTTCAAACCGGTACTGGATACGTAAAAGCACGAAATTTCGGTGAGATCACCGGGTTGCGGCAACGACACCGACTTGCCCGATTTCTCGGTGCCTTCAATTGACTGGCGTCCGCCAGTTGCCGCACGACTATCGTACCAACGGCTCTCTGGGTTTGCTCTGGTCAGCGCTCGCCCATTCCAGAGGTTGACGCAAGTGCCCCGTGGACTCAGGTTTTCACCGGACCACTAGTACTGTGCACGGCTCGGGCTGGAAAGAGGACGTTCACATCCTTTAGAAATTTCTCGTCGCCCCCGAAAGGTTAGCTGCTGGTGGAGAATTTACCGATGACGTCCCGCTACCGTTTCCTCGAGCCTTCTCACGTTGCCCCTGAACCGAGCGACCAGATCGTGACATAGTCTCCCTCCTCGCTTTTTCCTCTTTGTTTTGCGCCTCGACGAGCTCCATGCTTGAGCTCCGCTCCGTCCTCCCGCTCCGCGCTCCCCTCAGTCTGGCTTGAGCTATTATCCTCGACGTGTGAATGTCCGAATCCATGCGCGATGCATTGTCGCAGATCTTTCGGTTCATGAAGCAGGGGCAAATGCTTAACAGGCTTTCAGGTGCGTCATGTGTTGATTTGCGCTCTTGAAACGCGTGTTGTTAACGGTTGTTGACTGCAGTTGGCGCGCTGTGCTTCACCGTATGGGATGTACTCATCACCCTCGAGGAAGAGGTCGAGAGTATATGGGCGTTGCCATGGAGAAATCCGACCAAATGGCTATATTTCGTATCGCGCTACGGAGCCTTGGCTGCGCAGTCGTGAGTGGGATTTCGTCGCTGCATACCGTTGTAAAAGCCACTAAACTCAACATAATCGCACTCACAGTGTACTTATCGAGACCGGAATGCTAAGCGATTCGACGGTTGTTGCGCACACCCAGTGCCGCGTCTGGTTCACGTTTAGGATTTGTGCGATACCTATCATCACGGTGGTCGTGCAGCTGCTGCTCGTGTTTCGAGGTATGGCATGGAACTAGGTCACCACGCACCCTCTATCAGGCGCTTATCTTGTTTCGCCAGTGTTGGCCCTGTATGATCGCAGCTACTCTATCAGGGCACTCGTAGTCGTTATATGGGCTATATCTACTTTGTTCGGCATCATAGAAGCTTCTGTGAGTCCTCATGCGACGCTTACACGGTGCACTCCCCCGGTGTTCAATATCGAGTGCGCAGGTTCACGTAACGCGTCTGGGCATTGATGGTATATGCTCGCCGGAATCGACCCCTATCCCCAATCGGGCAGGGAGGATTGACAACACGAGAGAGATGTTCATTGTATTGGCGTATGCGTGTCTTCTCCCCAGTGCACCACCGCGACTGACCATGACCATTAATACTCCACGTCAGGGCGTTGCCTATTCCTCTACATGTCGTGTTGTTCGCGCTCACCGTCGTGAGATTCTCTGACGGGGTACGGCAAGGCTGGGGGCGTACCCCTATAGTGCGCCTGATTGTGCGCGACGGCATATGGGCGTTCTTCGTCACATTGGGTACGTGCCACAACTCGGGCGGATGACGACGAAGTTAAGTGCTGACAACGTTTGTTTGTCTATACATATAAGTGTGCTCCATCGTCACGCTACGCGCGTCCCTCGTCCAGTCCGTCACGCATTTCTGTTCCCTATCTGCGTACAAGTGCGTGCCATGGTTATACGTTCTTCCTTGCATCGTCCACGTTCTGACTGGCCGTATTTTAGTTGGGCGCTAGCGTTGACGTCCATGTCTGGGTCCAGGCTCGTGCTCAACATGCAGTCTCTGCCGTCCGTAACAGACGATAGCGGCGGGCTGCCGCTGCAATCGTTGGCGAAGACGGAGTCGTCGGGCCCGGTACTCACGTCTCAGATAATGGCCGACCCGGAGTGGACGTGCGAGATGCGGACGTTCCACTCGACGAGAGGCGATCGCGGCGCAGCATACGATTCACACGATTGAATGGCAGACGGCTCTTGGTGTTACTACACATTCCTTCTTGATTCTTGTGTTTGCTTGATCGCGTTGCACTGTGTGGTATATTACATGAAGATAAATTTCGTATGCTTTGCCCAGACTGATAGGTCAAGGGCTGGATGTATCATATTACTGCATAGTTGATGCGCCACAGAGATGTCTGTCTAACTGACATGCCACCCGCGAGAGGAGACGACAGGGTGCTATGCATCCACCTGATATGAAACACTTAGCGACGCATGATGTGAAACACCTTTCTCGCCCACCTCCAGCATTTCGCAGTACCTCTGATAATTTAGTGCTTGATACACATCATAGTCAGGGTATTTTCTTGATGAATAGGATATATAACATCGAGTGAGGGGAGCAGTAGCAGTCCACGCAAAGCGAGCAGGTCAATACACAGTGACTTCTGACCGGCATCCCTCTGGCAGCATAAATTTCGCACCGAGCCTGAGCGGCTTCAGCGTGTTGCTGAATGTGTACATGGCTATCTATGTATGCAGCCACAAGAGAATCGAACAGGATTTAAGGGAGAGCGAGCAGAAGTGACACGAGTGTTTCATATCAGATGGATGCATAGTAGGTTCAGAAATGGGAAGGCAAAGACGTGCGGCGATGGAAACAATCGATGCGCTCGGTCGGCTTTAAACTCCAACAATCTGAAGGTAGGTAGGTAGGTAGGTAGGTAGGTAGGGGGACCCAAAGCCGATGCTCGATAGTGCAGCGCAGATGGACACTACGTACATAATAATACCAACCTGGAGTGGCATCGGGAGCCAGAGACATACTATAGACAGACCGGGAGAAGCATCGCACACCAGCATAGTGCCCTGCCAGCACCCGGCCATGTGCTGGGCAGAAATACGGACAATAAACTGCGGCAGAAAATAGGAGACGCGGCCATGCGCAATTAGACCGTCTGTCTTCACTGATTCACAGTAGATAAGCTCGCAGTCGAGGGAAGTAGCTCCAATGCCAATGTGCCGTATATTTAACGATGAGATCCAGCGGGAGCTGTCGAACGAGACTGAGCGACGCATAACGAGGGGCAGCCAATGTGCGTCAAGGGCTCATGAACGCTATCCATAGCAGCTTCGAAGAGCAAACCGTTTGTAATAAGTGTATATGTAGCGTAGCTTATGTAAAGCTATGCTACGACGCGACTGAACAGAACCGAGTGATATTGAGCAAAAGGACGACGGATACATGAGCTCTCGTAGGTAGTTTATATGTCGTTCGCTCGGAATATAGTTCTACGGGCGCCATATGGTTATACGGCGCCCTCTCAGTTGTAGTGATTAACCGCGTCCAATGGGACGCGGTAGTTACTTAATTCATCATGCCGCGGCGGCGGCTTACAAAGCGTATCAACGGTAATATAATACTACCGTTACACCCTCCCCCCTTCGGGAAAAGGAAGTTAGTAATTTAATTAGCGAGTCGCAGTGTCTATGGACTCACTGCGACGCGAGAGCCTGCCAATGGACACGGCGTCTCGTGCTTTGGTTCTCACGCCACGGCGG